GGCTATTCAAAAAGCTGTGCTTCCTCAGGTGTTTTTGTTATAAGATAAAGTGAATCAAAGTGTAATATCCTTAACTGACTTCCTGTAGTGTAGAACTTTCCAACACAAGAAATGTCTTTTTTTTTTTTGACACAAATTGGCTATTTCTATATATACATATCTAGACCAATATGTACATATCTTTCTTGAGTTAATTACTAGAAAGAATTTATTGGAACAGAGCCAGACCAGAACAATTACTCCTTTTCTAAAACTCGGTAATACATTTTAAATCTTGTAAATCAAGAAAAATCCCTACAAAGGGTTCACTCTCTTTCTTTCTGTGTTCTTAGAGAAATTTCATAGAAGACAGGTGGTCAGCACTCATGAATCAGATTTCATCTTGACGGGCTTTTTATAGACCTATAACAAAGTGAAGCCCAGAAAATTGTGTTAGGTAATGGGGATTCTGACAGAACCCTTAACTAGGTGGAACTAGGAGCGTCTGCCATAATTCTGGTGCTTCAGATGAAAATTTCAAGTGTTTTCATTAGGTACAACAGCTGTTTCTATTACAGATAACAGATCTCAGAGGTGGTGATGCTGATATCAACTTCTGGTGAGCTCAGAACACAGTGTGGCTTGTGCAATTAGGTTTTTTTAATTATTTTTTTTCTGCACATGCAAATTAACTCTGTAGCAGTAAAAGGAAATTACTTACTTGCTACCGGAATTGTCTGAAAGTGATATGATCATCCTTTGTAGCGTCACATTAACCAGATTAAAAGCCCTTGGGAAAAATTTGGCACCCTGTTCCTTCCCATTCACATCTTCCTAAAGACCTCTCAGTAGCTTCCATTTAGAAAGCTATGATCATTATCAGGGCTTTTAATTTGGAAATATTGGCTGCTCACCAGTGTATCTTTCTAGACACCCAGTGGTTAGGTATAGTGGCTCTGCAGTGTCACAGTCTTGGGGGCCTGGGAGGCCTTGAACTTTCACCATTCTCTTGACTCCTGCTTGCCTGAAGGTATTGTTGTCTAGCCTGGGATGGAGTCACATGTCTGCTGCTGTCACTTTTTTCTTACAGTAGTCACCATCATTTTGTTTTCTCACTGGATGCATACCTCACATTTTATTCACAGTGGAGTCTGTGCCTTCAGCCCTTTGAATCAAGGCTGACTTCTTTGGCCAATAAAATATAGTGGAAGTTCTGCACCACTCTGAGCTTAGCCTTTAGTAGACCTGTTAGTTTCTAATTCCTTTGTCTTTGAAAATTTTCCTCTTGGAACCCAGATGGGCCACTGTTTGAGGCCTAATTTGCATGGATAGAGTACATGTAGGCAGTCTAGCCAATGGCTTTACCTGACCAGTGTCGACAAAGTCATCTTGATGTCCATCTAGTTTATCATTTGATGAATCCAACCTTATGCACAGAAGCCATTGAGTTGTGTGAAAGACATTGCAAGAATGACCTCTTGATCTCAGACCTGTAGATCTCAGAGACAACACTGAAATGTTTTAAGTCACTACATTTAGAATGGCTTGTTACATCGCATTAGATAACTAAAGTAAAGACAATGTGCAAAGCCACAAGCTATGTGCACCTACAAACATGGGCACTAAAAACATTAACTTAGAGTGAGGTGTGTTAAGTAGTTGTCTATAGGATATAAATAGATGTTAATTTATCTGACTTTTATGGCTGGATCTCTAGGATTAAAGAATTAGACTGTTGCTCTATTACCAGTTGGATTCATAAATACGAGTATTTAATGTACAAATGCAAATGTTTCTGGGAAGTATAATGCTCTAAGTCAGAGTACAATGAACTTTCTCTGTCTAAAGCCATAAATAAACATTTTAAAGTTTGTGATCCATTTCAGTGGTTGTGATACCTATCCAATTAAGCCACACCGACACAGACAATATGAAAATGAATGGCATAGTTGTATGCAATGAATTTTATGGACAAAAATAGGTTGAGAGCTGGATTTGACCTGCAGATTGTAATTTGCTGACTTTGTTCTAGCAATTATTCTTATGGCCAATAGAAAAAATTTGATTTTATTTCTTGATACTCTTTTGCACTGGATGAAGTTTACTTCTTGCTCCAACCTTATTACCAGTCCTTCTGATCCCCTTTGTAGATTTCTTCTCTTATGCTTGAAATGGGTTGTTGAAGGGTTTCTTTTATCTTTATTATTTATTTATTTATTGTATTTTAGGGAAGGGTCTACAGGGTGTTCAGGGTCCCACTACTAGATCAGACTCATAGTGATTCCCCTGTTTATAGCCTCCCAACAGCTGGGATTACAGACTCATGCTATCAGGCCCAGTCTCAATTGCTGTCTCAGCATATTCCGGGGGTGGGGGCTGGCAAGGCAGGCCTGGGGCTTGAATGCCCAGCCCCTGCACCTGCTTATAGGCATTTTAATTTACTGAGCTATTTGGCTAGCCCTTTCTTTTGTCTTTGACATTCTTTCTCAGTGACCAGCAGTGTTACCCACTAAAATGGCTTCATGTAACACCAATTGATCAATGGCTAGAAATTTCGATCTCCATATAACTCCCATCCCTATTTATATTTTATGTAGAACTTCAGGATGCTGTCTGTTACCTTGGATGTTTTGCCAGTACCCTAAGCTAATTCACTTTTGTGCCAGTTATTAACAGGCAGTCTCCGGTCTCCAAATCTACCATTCTATACATAGCTTATTGATGCTTGTCTGGCATTCCTAAAAACCCCATTTCTACTTTGGCAATTGTTAGTTTCTGCTTGCAGGGTGTACTAGGGGAGAATGCAAGGACTGATCCCTGTCTTTCTGCTTCCTGTTTGCTATGTCTGCTTGGTGTTTCCTATAACTCTCTCTTCAGCAAACCATCAATCAAGAAACAAACAATAATTTCTGCAGTAGCATCTGAATCTGTTTTTTCTCAATGTAGCACAATTGCCTCTATTTCCACTCATCTCCCAATAATTTCACATAGCAGCAGTGGGTTAGTGTCCCTCCTCAGAGATCTGGGTCTCAGCTCTTTAGGACCTCTTCTTCCCATTCAGACACACCAGGGATAGCTAGCTGTACCTATTTGTAGAGCTCTAGTCGAGTGTACACAAAATATAAAACGATGCCTGGGTGCTGGCTTGAGGAACCACGCAGGGGCAACAGGGGATGGCTTTCTAAAGCCATTTATTAAGAAAGAAAACTGCACAGATGCAGATTCTGGTGTGGCAGGGACCCTGCTTTAAATTTGTAAATTTCAGTTATTCTAAACTCGTCTCTAAGGGGTGATAGTTGGCTTTCTTTAATTGCTTTCTCAATAATATCTTGCTATGCCTCTTTGCTTTTTTTTGTTACACGATTAATCATGCTGTAGTTAGATAGTCATTCTTTACATAAAATTCTCCCTCAAATAGCTGGTGTGGTTTCTGTCTCCTGACCAGACTCCAGAGGACTTTATGTTCTCAGCCGGAAGCTGCACCTGTGTCAGTTTCCTTCCTTAGTAAATGGCATTAGAAAGCCTTCTTCTGTTGTCCTCTGCTTGGTTTCTCAAGCCAGTATCCAGTCATCATTTTGTATTTTGTCTACACACTCAACTCTCATAGCCCATCAGTAACAAGGGCTATAGCTTTGGCTTCCTAAATATTTCTGCTTTCTGTCTGCTTCTTTCCTTAACACCCACCACTCTAGACTAAGCCATCACTGTGTCTCCCCTGGGTGACCATCATCTCTTAAAAACCGACCTCCCTATGGCCTGGTAGTCCTTTCAACCTGTCTCACCACAGCTGTAAAGGCATGTCAAACCCATTTTCTGGAGATACACACTCTGAAATACTCCAAACTTGCAACTCACTTTATAAATACATCTTTGATTTGATTTCTCTTGTTTCTGTATTCCACTGGAGTACTCTCTGCACCCATGTTCTTCCCAGTGTGCCAGTCTTTCTTTGTACTCTTGCTACAAATTGTTCTCTGTTTGGAAATCTTATCTTTTACCTGGATAATTACTGTACATTCCTTTGATGTTGTATGATTGTCACATGCTTAGAGACACCTTTCCTGATCTCCAGGCCATTCTCCTGCTTTTGTCTTCTATAGCATCCAATAAACTGATAAGTACAGTCCAGCTGGCCACGTCTGATCCACCACAATAGCTCTAACATCTATGCCTTTCCAGCACAGCAGAAATTCAACAAACATCTACTCAATTCTTTTGATTTTTTTATATGTACACATAAGGACATAGGAGTTGATTTCAGAGGATGTGCTTCCTCAGAGGCACCAGGATCCCTCAGGACTGGCTGTCACTTTTTAAACTTCAGGCTTTTTTACTTCTTTGCATCTCCTGACATCAGTCTCCCTTTGTGCATTCTTAAGGTAGTGATGGGAGAAGACTGAATGGGGAGGCGATGATGGCTTGAGCTGGATTAAGGCCCCAGCATCACCAACATTTCCATTTTCAGAGGGCCCTGCAGTGTCACTCAAGTCTCCTAAGTGCCTGGTGCCAGGTGCATCTCAGTCCTTGTTGTACTTCTGTCCCCAGGCAGAAAGGGACATTCCTCTGCTGCTAATCACCAGCACGTCACTTCTCCCCTGAAGTCATCAGTGCACTAGCTTCTCTGTGGTGCACTGGAATGTTGTCATTAAATATCAACAAATGGCAAATGACGAAAAAAGGGAAAAGGAGTGGGGAAAGGGCTAGAATACTGGTTAAAATCTTTTAAAACTTATCCTCGCCAATGATGAAAAAGCACAGGAAAATGAGTGCAACCATGAAGAAGCACGGAAGCAGGATGACAGCCTGCTGGAAAGGAGCAGACCTGAGTCGGGGGGATTAAATAAATTCAACTCTGATTTTGGTTACACTCCCAGGGAGAGAGCTGCGCTTCCTTAAAAATGAAAACAAACAGAATGCGACCCGGAGCACTTTCATTTCTTTCATCTTCTAAATAGATTTGATCCAAGATGGACATTTTCTTTGAGAATAATACAACTTTCTCCTTCAATTCAAAGTGTTACCTTTTGGATGGTATTCCACACACGTTCTTTATTGCTTCTTCTTCCTTCAAGGGTGTCCATAGCATCTGCCATTAGTAACTGCAGCTGTGGCACCAAGATAAAAATTATCAGGGTGGAATTCACACAGAAATAACTTCTCTAAATACACAGATTAAAACCTAATTAAAAAATCATTTGTACGCTGATGGTTTTATTACTCATCTTTCTCACAATGAACACTGCCACCTCGTCTTTGCTTGAGTCATTATGGAGCATTATTGCAGATATAAAATACTGCAACAATGAAAAGGTTCTTCTTGAAAATTTGTAGAAAATGTATAGGTTTTAATGTACTAAATGTTGGTGTTTTGTTAAAAAACAGATTTGGGTTGTAAAGAATGAAGGCGGTAGTTAATTCTCCCAGGAAATGCCATGTAGAACATGAATGCATTTTAGTATCTTCTCCTGAGGCTAATGTATCATAATTCTAGGCATAATGCAAAAGCTCACCAGAGAATGATACTGACATTGTGTTGCTTTATTGTGTCTTTAGGAATCTAGCTCATTTAAGTTCTTTTCTTTGGGAAAATTTTGAAATAACTTTTAAATTTTAATTTAATTTTTTTAGGTCCCAAAGGTAAATTTTCAGTCTGCTTCACTGTGTCCAAAACAGGCACCTGACATATTCTAATAAAAACCAATATGTACACAATGCACACAGGGCTGCAAGAGAATGAAGCTGTATCCAACCTTGTGATGCTCAAATTTTAATAAAAAGTTCCCCCTCCTCATTTAGCTCACTGTGGCATCAAGTGGCTTGAACTCTTGGATAATCTTTCCATGCCTTAGCTATTGTGGAACGTAAGTAGGAGGGCAGAGTCAGCCACTCCAACACCCTCTATTGAGCAATCACTGTTCATTGTGCCGTGCAAGGTAGTACTAGGATGTATTTTTCAAGTTAACCCATACGTGGAGACTGGAAAGTAAAATCTATTACTTAAGGCACTAAAATCTTGTAGACATGTGCTTTTTAAATATTTGGCTTGCAGATATGCATTCACATATGTCTACTTTTTTCTGGTGAGCGCACGAATCATGAAAATATCCCATCAAATCCCATTTTCTCGGGCTTCAGATACTGAAAAATTGTCCATTAGAGAGGGATGTCAATTGTATTAGTTTGGTGTTCTTTGTGCATATTTTGAAAAAATGAGTATTTCTGGGGAAAAAAAAAACCCATCAATGTGTGGTTGAGGAGGCTTATGTGTGGCACACTGCTCTGTATTTCTCATTTCAGTCCTAAACGTGCTTTTCAAGAAGAAAGAATCCACATTTTTCTGGCTTCCCTAACTTAACATTTTCTTTGCCTCTGCTTATCTCAGAGGAGCATTAATCATCTACAATTGGCCATAATACACAATTTGAAAGTTCACACTTAGCCGTACTCCTGAATGCCTTAGGAACGGCAAGATAAACACAGCCATTTAGTCGGCGTGCCTCTGCACAGGAGCATACAGGTTTAGAAAGTGTCGCTGCCAGTTTGACTTAGCAATTCCCTGATTAATAGACTTATTTTGTAGTTTTCCTCTTTGGTATGCGTGGCTTTACTCTTTGGCTAGGCAGACGATTTCATGCACTTACTGTGATATCAGTATTTATTTAACACACTTTTTAACAGGGTTAGATGAACGTTATGTACGCCGGCAGCTTATTTCTTGGTTACATATTTAAAAGCTCAAACAGGGAGGATTCTTTGAGTTATCTGAAAATTACAGGTAAGCAGTTTGCACTGTGCTCAGCCTTGCTAGGTGAATTTAATTCAGGTCTATAATTAGTTTTAGCTACTCTCAATTAAAGCTTCAAAGTGAAGAGCCCTCCCCACAATACATTAGAGTACATTTTACCTTTCTTTGTATGGGCAGCATACTGTTTAGTAATTAATTTTCAAATGAAGTGTTATAAATTCTAATATTAATTGTGATTTTAATACACAATATGTTTCAAAAGTCTTTCTGTGAGTTAGTCCTTCAATTAGCTAGTTTTTGACTGGCTCTGTATATGGCCCAAATATCTGGTTTTCTGAGGTAACCAGTAAGTTCAGGTTACAAAGCTGCTATTTTGGCTAACTACATTTTTCTCTTCAAATAAAGTTTTATTGATCTATCCAAATGTACTAGTGTGTATTGATACTGCTAAAATATATGGCAATATTAGAATTGAGTAAGAAAACGCTAAGGACCATTTTATAGGGTTGTATTTTTACACATAATCTCTTTTGTTCTCTCCTTTTTCCAAGAAGAGAATCATATATTAATGTATCTTAGAGTTTAAGAAGCAGTTTATTAAAATTTCATTTTACTTAAAACAAAAAGCCTGACACAATATGAATAATCAGCCCTTTTTATATTTTTATGCATCACAAAGTTCTTGTTGTAAGAGATGGAAGGTAGTCAATGTGAGCAAATAAAAACTGGACACCCCTACATTTTCTGGTTTCGTCACTAAAATGCTTCATGGAGGGTAGAGAGTTTGCCTTCAGACTCCATTTATTATCACAAATTTCTTTTAGACCCCATCACTCTTCTGCTGGCTCAGGGCCTGTGCAAGCCTTAAACAAAGAAAAACAGATACCAGCTCCGCCTCCTGATGACTGATGTCCTGCAGATAGGGGATGGTGGCTAGCTCTGCCATGGCTTGATTAATCACTTGGGACTGCTCCTTCACTCTCTGGAGGCGGCCCAGGAGGCTGGCGTACTGCAACTTCTCCATCACACCTGAGCATGCACACAGCCCACCCTGGTCTCACAGGAAGAAAAAAACAACAACATTTTAGAACCAAGGCACGGAAGGAGACCCCTCCCCAGGACTGAAGTGCAGCCTTGGTAGACTCTATTTGCGTCTTTTGGAGCAATGGTATCTTAATACAAATGGTTTTGCTTTTTGATCGTTTTAATAAAATTGTATATATTTTTTTCAAGCAGGTGGATACGTATCTAAAGGAGATCTTTTTGGGACTGTTGAGATGGGCTTGCTCGTTGTCCTGCATTGAGAAATGAGGCTGAGAGGAAAAGATAGGACTGAAACTGTACCTGTGTTCTCTTAGTTGTGGTTTTCCAGGGCTGTGCCCAAAAAGAGGAGATGACTTCAAACACCAAACGTCATGGAAGCAAAGGCTGCCCACCAGCTTGTGTACATAAAAGAAAGTTCTGCACAGGTTGAATTCTGTTCATTTCAACACATTACACTAAAGCTCCAGTTCTGCTTTCATCTTTAGTTCCCACTGGGCGGCCTTGTACACTGGCTTCTCGTCTTGTAGCAGCTTGCTTTTGTTTTAACTGACAAGATCCATCTTGAAATAGATTATCCCACACAATTATAAGTCCCTCCTCTCCCCAGGGAATCTGTGGGTATTTTACATTATCTTATGAAGAAGCAACTTAGGATAAGGTGGCCCTCCTGAATATTTGGTATTGCCATTCACAGGGAAGGGACATTCCCTTCTCAAAAAAGTTCAATACAATTGTAATACTTCATAGGAGAGTCAAAGTTTATCACAACATTCTCATGTGTATCTTTAGGAAAAGACACATACTTTGATCCAAGGGGATAGGGAAGCATCAGAATCAGGCCTGTGTTCCTGGTGGTCTGCTCCTCGGGCAGTTAGAGGGCGCTGTGAAGTTTGTGGGAGATTTTGATTTCACAGCTGCATTCTGCATCCTGGTGCTTGGAAGACGAAGACTTGGGTGAGTGGTGCTGCTCTATGGCAGGACCCTCCCTGGACACCCACACCTAAGTCTTTTGGCTTGTTTGTTAATTAGATTAATAGTCTCGGGCTTCATTGAGCACATCTCAGAATTGGGACCTATGACTCTAGAAATATGAATTAGTTAGATGTCGCCAAATACTCAAATACCTCAAGAAAGAAATTTGAAAATGAGTGATAACCTTACATTTCTGATAAAATATCTGATAAGTACTATTTTATTTGTGATATTCATAAGGACTGCTCATGAGTGCTTATGAAACAGCAGTTCTTCTCGAAGTCACAGAAAGTACATGCATTTTTCCTTCTTGAAAGAGAATTTTCTCTAAAGAGAAAGGCCATTAGAAACTAGCATTACTAAAGACATCTGAACTTCAACTTGAAATTAGAAAGCTTTTTTTTCCTGAAATGTCATGCTCAAGTTTTGATTGATAGTAACCTCTAGAAGCTGGCATCTTTCCAGAATCCTGGAAATGCATGCAGGTTAGGCATGACTGCATTTCATTTGCTTTATTTTCCCCTAATACCTATCTGTGCCATTCATGAAATGTCTTCTATTCACACTAATTTGTTCTTTTGGATGAATTATTTATATGAAAATCTATAAACCTATAGGGGCTATGGTTGCATGTGGCGGATTTGGGATCTGTTGCCTGAATTGATGAAATAGCTTGCCTACCATTCAGTTTAAACATGTAGCTAGACAACGGCATTCTGTCAAGCAGAGGAAAGCAAGTTGGAGGAGAAATGGTTTTCTTTCAGAAGAAAAATTGCCTTCTTTGTCCTTCTTTAAAAAGAAACAATGGGGCTAGTTGTAGGAAAGTGGTACAGTGACTCAACTTTGAAGAGCAGAAACAACTGCAGCCTGCTCGGGAACATAATCTATTAGTGTAATTTTCCAAAACATCAGGAAAATAAAAATAGTGGAGGGAAACAGTGCTTTGTTAGCTTGATTGTTGGATGCATAACAAAACAGGAAGTGCTCCATATGACTAAGATGTCAGGGAAAGAATATCGTTGCGGGCTAATAGCCCCCCATCTTCTCCTTCCCCCCAGTCAAAAGCAGTTTGGGTTATCAGGAAGCTGCACGTTAACATTTTACCTATACCAGGTAGTTGTTTTTGAAAGACAATGTGAAAAAGATGAAAAGTAATATTTTAATGTAGCAGGAATGATTTGATGCAGTTTTTTTTTTTTTTTTGGCAAAAATAAAAGAAATGAAAAAAAATTAGCTTAGACATCTAGGGCTTGCAATATCTACATGTGAAGAGAGGCAGCCCTCCCTAGAGATTTTGGAAGCCACCAAAGGGCTCCTGAACTGTTGGAGAAAGTACAATGAAGTAGGCAAGACTGAAGCTGCAACCTCACACAGGTACAACAGGGGTTGGGTAAATAGCAAGTTCAAATGAAGGCTTCACTCAGATCGTTGCCCACTTTTAATAGCAGTTATAGATCAGTGTTTGGCAAATAAGCAGCACTATAGGATGCTGCTGGAAGGCAGAGTTCCAGTATTTGAGATGGATGTACTTCCATTTGACATACACAAACAGAAACATTAATCGCCAAAGGGCGTAGAAAATCCATATTGTTGTTCATTTCAAGTGTGCATATGTAAACATTTTTTAGTGTTTCACTTGGAAGAAATTAAAAGTAAAATTGATAAGGTATTAAAAATGGTTAGTTAGGCCATTTCTGGCAAGTGATTCTGTGAAGGAGGCTTTATGCGTGGAAGGAGATTTTATTTTAACTCTTTAACATTTAGGCCAGAAAGCACAGGGCGTAAGGTTTGAAACTGACAGAAGCCAATAAAGTTAATGAATGAAAAGGCAGTGTGCCATCTGGTAGCATAGGACATAATTGGGACAAAAATTGTGAGAAGGAAAAATGCCAGTAGAGCAGATTTGCAAGCCACCAGGAAAATCATGAAATATTACCGATTATAATTCTTAAAATGTCAGAACCTTTTTTTGTTTGCTTATGTATTGTGCTCTGGCAGTTCAATCTATAAAGACAAGGGAATTTGTGAAATATAAAGCAGACCATTGGAAGAGAACCCTCCCTCCAATCAAAGAAGTCCTTTGTCTTCCTTACCAGTTGTGGCCACCATCCCCTGGTAATGAGTGAACATTCATGTTCCCTACGAAGCCTTTCACAATTAATTTTCTGAGTCTAATTTGTTTGTGTACTTGACTGTTCATTTTAAAAATTGAACATAGCTATAGAATGATTTTCATGTTGTTTTATGTGTGCTTTGTTTTCCAGCAAGGATCAAACTTTTATTTCAAAAACAAGTAGTATGTCTCATGAAAGAATACTGGGCCAGCATTCCAAGCTCCTAGCCAGTGAGCCCATAGATGAGTGAGTCTAAGTAGGCTACTGCTTTCTCATTGATGAAATGAAGGTGACACAATGTAACCAAATTGGGAGGGTCAAATGAGGCAAGGTGAGGGATGTTTTTGTACCTGCGCTTCGGTTAAACTCTAGATTCTTAGTGGAGGTGTTTGCATGCAATTGCTGTGTTATCACCTGTCTGATAACCGGGACCAATGTGTGTGTGTGTGTGTGTGTGTGTGTGTGTGTGTGTGTGTGTGTGAATTCTAAAGATTGAACTCAGGACCTCATGCATGCTAGGCAAGTGTACCACTGGGCTACATCTTTTTATTTTGAGACACTGTCTTGCTAAGTTATCCAGGAAGGCCTGAAACTTGTGATTCTACCTCCTGAATTCCTGGGGTTACACATGTGCCCCACAGCCTCTAGCCTCTGTTTTTTCTAATCTATTTGGGTCAGGAACAATTTTTTTTCTAGTATAGAAGTATTGGTTTTCGATGTGGTGTTTTCTACATGCATAACACATTTTGATCATATCCAACATCCATTACACTGTCTTATTTCCCCTTCTCTCACTCTTGACTAATAGCAGAATCCCAAGAAAATTTCTTGATTATGAAATGTTTAAGGGATTTGGAAACAAGGGTAATTTGATAGCATTAGAAAAAGAATTTCAAGGGCTGAAGCGATGGCGCTGTGAAATAAGTGCTTCCCTGGCAAGTGCAAGGGCTTGAGTTCAATCCTCCATTCCACAAAAAAAAAAAAAAAAAAAAAAAAAAAAAAAGAAAGAAAGAAAAAGAATTTTTCTTTAATATGTTTATATTGAAGGCAAATTGCTATAGTTTTAAATGCATTCTGCAGATAACAAAATCCTTTACTTCAATCAAGGAAAATAGACAATTGGGACAACCAAAGAAAAATTCCTTAAATAAAAATTTAGTGTTTTACCAAGTTAACTATTTTTCTAATTAAAGATGTTAGGTAGATGTTATTCAGGTAAATACAAACTAAATATTTATAAGGTGATTAAATATTCAATATGCTTAGGGAATAGATCATGAGAATTCTTGATATTGCCTAAATATTATTTAGAATTCTATGTATTTATTGTACAATATAAATGTGTTCATACTTTAAAGTTGAATAAGTAATTCTGGTCAGAGCATTATGCCAAAGGCTAGCATTGTCTTTTGAGTCACCTGCAGTTTATGAATGCTAAAGTTTTAGTACATTGTGTTTTCATATTCCAAAGCCATTTCTACTAAGGAACATTGTCAAAATGAATTAAAAAGTCTCTGAACATATATGACACAAAATACATTTCTTGGCTATTAGGCCTGGATGAGAGTGTCAATGTTCCAGATGGATGATTCTTTCCCTTAGTGAACAAGGAAAATCATGCCTTAGTCACCAATATAAAAGGTAACTGAAAAATCTAAAATTCCTTAGAATAAACCTATCGCCCATGGCATTGGTCAGTGTCTTCTAGAGGAGGTGTCTGGGAAGACATGTGAAGCCGAGGGCTCATGGTCAAAGCTTGCCGTCAGGGAGGCTGCAGTCCAGTACCAGTCCCACTGTGCTGGTAGATCGAGTCCAGCATCAGTCCCACTGTGCTGATAGATCGAGTTCATAGCCACAGAGGACCCCAGCCTGCCTGGGTGTGAGGATTTGAGAGAATCAGTGATAGGGGAACAGGAATGAAGAAAAGAATTTGAAATCCGTAGGACGCTAGCACTGTCTTCATGTTAGGAGGAGAAAAAGAATGAAAAACCTGGAAAACATTCTTCTGGTCTGAACAAACTAAACCAATACCAGTAACTGATGTTTCTAAAACACTTCTAAAATACTTCAACATGAGTTATACACTTTTGGGTTTATAACTCTATGGAGTGAGCCTGGCAGACACAAGCCTAGTCTACATATGAGAAGAAAACAGCTCACCAGCCAATTAACTTGTTATACAGTTACCCACCCAGGACACAGCCTTGGTTAAAAGGCTTCAGCTATCTACATGTGACACAAACCAGGGCAACAATAAGGACAATGCAGTGGCTACATATTTAAGTAAATGATTTAATATATAACTAGAAAAAAGCCTACATCAAGGAGGAACTTAAAACTACTGTTGAGTATTACTTGGGTCATATTTGATGGTACCCTGTGTTTTCACTAGGAATAATTTCTAGTTATCAACACATTGCTTGAGTCATTACATTAGGTTACCTTGGCCTCAAGTTTTATTCAATCTGGCATTTTGAAGCTATGGCTAGGGAAAATAGGAAACCAAAATGCCAACATTGGGATATACTGGCAGTCCCTGGGAACCTCAAGACTCACTCAGGTAAGTTCCATTAAAACTCTCTGACATAATCTAGCCAAAAATGTTATTTCCCATAAAATAGAAGGAAATATATGAAAGTTGATTCCTTGCAGTTAGCAGAGTGACTCAGAGACTGATTCTAAAGAAGACCGAGTTGTTAATAAGAACTAGGAATCTCTTGGATTATGGTTTTTAAAATTTCCTTTGTAAAGAGAGAGACATATAAATTTCCATGAGGTCATAAGCCCTTTGAAATTTGGAGGAAAGAGAATAAACACAATGCTTGGGTTGGCTGAACCTGCTTCCACATTAGTAGACAAAAAGCCGGAAATACTGCGGTCAGTTTCTTGACCAGTAATGTGGTCAGGAAAGCACTGCCTCAGAGAGACCAGGTGTCGACAGATCACTTCCACAACACTCAGCAGCCAGGCTCTGCTAGGACAGTTGTACAATGTGAGATCTAAGGCTTCAAGGTGAAGCTTCTTGTTAGCAGAACTTACACCATTGAAAGGCCTGTTGATGACAGTAATGATAAGTATGAATTTCTAACTAGGCTTGGCAGGTTGGCGAGGATACACACATGTGCATGTGGTTGGAGGAGGTTGTGATAAAAGGTAGATTGCAGAATAGGACCCAACATTTATAGTGTAGGTGATGAAATTGATTTAGATGGCATGTCCGTGCCTTGCATCTATATGCTGAGCTCTAGTCCTCCATGCAGAAGCATTTGCAGAAGTCTCTGGGGGGAAGTTAGGATTTAATGACACACTTATGAAGGAATTAGTGACCTCATAAGAACAGACACCAGACAGCTTGCTCTGTCTCTCTGTCACGTGGGGACACAGTGAGAAGGTAACTGCCTGAAAGTCAACGATGGAATCCTCATCTGAACTGAGCAATGCTGGCGCCTTCACTTTAGACTTCTAGTCTCCAGAGTGGTTGGAAGACAGAGTTGTGTTATTTAAGCCAGCTTGCCTATGCCACTTTGTTATGGCAGCCTGAGCCAGCTAAGAAGGGGATGAATTTCTAATTAATAGAAATATAGAGAAGGATAATTGAGTGGAACATACGTGTGTGTGTGTGTGTGTGTGTGTGTTTATGTGTGTGTGTGTGTAGCTGTGTGGCTGAATGATGTAGGATAAATGTGCTTTTGTATTTGTAATGCATAGAATTACAAATTATGCAAATAGATTAGAAATTTTATAGCTTTGCTAAAATGCTGAATAATATTATTGAGCAGATAAACTGTGGAACAGATGTTAAGTACCTGTTTGTGATGACCCCCTTGGTTCTCCTTATAAGGTAAGAACATCAAATCAGTGATGCAACACAAAAGCCACAAGAAGGAAATTCTTTAAAATTTCCAGTACACAGGCCTTCAGAAAAATATTAAAAGCGGAGAAATCTGCAGCATGTATAGCGTGTTAATGAGAAGTTCTCTTTGTGTACTTTCAGTACAGTGGCTTAAATTTTATAAAAGAGCATCACATTATTCAAGTCATCTTTCGGACTTTTAGGAGTGAACAGTAGAAAAAGCATATTTTCTGTGGATCATAGACAGGGATTAGGTAATTTACATTAAGGCTGTACAAAGATCAATTGCCAGTGTTTATTGTAGCAGCCAATTCATCAGTGTGGAGGCTCTAGCTTGAACAGCTTTGAATTCTTGTGTCAGTAATGAGTCGGTTATATGCTCAGTAAACAAAATAGGCAAAACATGGTGCTTGCTAAAATTTATTATTGATTTGAAATGAGAAATTCACTGCAACTTTGAATTAGATATCAGGAAGGCATGAAGAACAAGCTCTTTAAAGGAACACTAGTCTAATACTAGAAGTTGCAAAGTATAGCACTGTAATACGTTTTAGAATATAAAAGGAATAAAAGTGTTAGCTAAATTTGTTTGGTTTTGCAAATGAGATTTTCTGTGAATGTTTCTAAAATCACCCAACACTTATAATATGTGTTCCATAAACTTTCCATATTCCTAGGATTTGCTAATACTTGTACAATGGAGAAAAGTGTAAAAATCTCATAGACCTACGTTCAATTGGGTGCCTCTGATAAAATCCAATATTGGCAAGATTCGCCATCCCATAGTTTCCATTCGTCTCATGCTGTCTTCTCTGGTCAGCCGACTGAAGGGAGTTTTATGATCTAGAAATTGTAACGATAAACTTTTATGTTATTTTTCCAGACTTCTATTTCAACAATATTTTGGCAAGCTATATAGGGATATCTCAGCAGTAATAGATATGAAATCTTTAGTATAGTAATGCATCCTATTCCAATATCATCTGTATAAGAATGAAAGATTTATGAAAAAGGGAGAGGACTCGTTGCTCTTTAGAAGCTGTCATTTACTCAGTTTGTTGTGTTTCTTGATTGAGAGAAGGAACAGACAGCCTTCTACAATCCACCTATCTCTACAGTGTATGCCTGAGTTGTGCCCGAGTTGTGAAAAAATGTTGTCATAAATGTGTCTGATTCTTGTCTCGTTCCTCTCAGGTATTATTCAAGTGTGCAGATCTCACTGACTTTGAATGTAGTTGAAGCTGAGATAAGCCTCAGAGGATACAGCACCAGGCAAAACACCGGTTCTTAAGTATGTGGTAAGAAATGGTAGAATGAATTCAACCTGGTCATAAATTAATCCATAAGCTTCAGCCTTCAACTTTCACAAAATAGTTTCTTGGGCTTTAAGCTATTTCAGCTAGAATTTCTGAATGCCACTTTACTATAGTACTCCATAGCACATCTAAGCTCAGGAGATCTAGTTACACAAGGAAAGAGTAGAAAATATATTAATACAATATCAGAAGACCCAAGTGCCTTAAAGTTGTTATTGGCTATATGTCTTATTTCATACAACAATTTTGTTGCATAATTGTGCTTTACATTTTGCTACCTGGTTATGAAAACTGCTTGTATTCTTCAAGCACACTTTGATTAAGGAAAGAGAGGTAGTTAGAATGAAATGACTGGTGTCAGGGAGGTGGAGGTCCCTCTCTTATTGTGCATGCTCTCAGGGGAAAGATTTCTTGTTGACTAACCTACAAAGATTAGGAGGAGTTAATTATGACCAAACATGTTTTGGGAGCCCTGTGATGGTAACACTTGATGAGAAATGCACGGTCCCTAACTTGTACTGAAAGACAATGAGAAACCCAAGTGACTTACCTGTGAATGTTGGTAGCTTCCTACTTGACAGTTTTTCTAAAAATTTTCCATCTTCTTTGTTTTTGAAGCCAAGAGTCAAGAGATATTGTTGCGGATGAAGAGATGACCAGTCAGCTGTCTGAGGCAACACGTGGAAGGCACAAAGATCTGAAACAGGACAGAAAAAGAGCTAAGGGACTTCATTGCAGTCTTATTATTTTCAGCTTCTGCCCCCGGAATTTAGGGATGGTCCTTGGAAAAATGGTAAAACAAACATTAAAAGAATGAAGTGAAATTATGTGTATCAAAAGGCCAAATAGATAACACAAGAAAATCATACTTCACTATTTATATTTTCCTTAGCAACTGCTGTATACACAAAGCATAGTGACAAAATAGGGCTACTGTTTTGGGCCATCTTTTCCTGACCCTCAAAATAATTGACATACAGGACCAGTTTACAGGCTTAATATTTTTTTCTGTAACTCTTTTGGGGAGGATTTGATTTTTCTGTTCACTAAAAAACAAGGAAATTATGTATACTGCTATAGAAAAGAGAAGAGAAATTCAAATATAAGGTAAATTAATTTAGTTATTATCGCTTTTATAGCTATAAAAAGAAATTTTAAATAACAAATGCACTGACCATTGTAATTAAACTTGGAAATAATTCAAGTGCTATGAGATTATTTCTGAAGCAAACTCACTCTTACTGATTAAAAGAGTTGGCATTTACCGAACACTTATTTTCTGCCTGCTAATATTCTATGAATTTTGTGTGCACTGTCTCTGTGAGTGGGGTCATGGCCCCATCTGAAAGAAAGAAGTTAAGGGGCATAGATAGGAAATGTTACCTGGGAGGAGCAGCCTTCACACACAGGCAGCCTACCTGACCTCAGGGATGGGTTACCATGCATGCTTGGCCTTGGGATTGCTCAGTTCTACACAACTTTTGGGTAGGAACAAATGTCAAGCAATGGGACTTGAAGGTCACGTTCACCTAATTCAGTTCTGTACTGAGCAACAAGGCTTTGTTTTATTATAAAAAACTTCTCAAATGAAGGAGGATGAACAGGGAGGTTTAATAAGCCCTACCTGTTTAATTAATAATGTCAGAGTGGGAAAAAGGTGAAATTCCAAACATCTTTGAATTATGATTTGGTTAAAGGTCAATTTTTTAATATAGAATCAAAACTCATGGTGATCATTCAGAAAGATACAACCTTCATTATTCATCTGTAATATTTCTTTTAAAAAATAATAGACTGAGTGAACCACAGGTGTTTTTAATCCAACCTCTGCCCTACCTTTACTTTTTAGCTGCAAAACATGTTGTACAAACTAAAATTTGCTGAGTGACCTCATGTTTAAAGTTGATATAAAGTAGAGCTGTCCTATCTGGAGGCTGGGACATCAACTACCTATTCTCACCCCTGGCAGCTTCACCTGAAATTTCTTCACAAAAGCCCAATTTTTCAACATATAGCTTAGAAAATATTGCAGTCAACTATTTGATAGAACTTCCTGGAGTAAATAGCATGTGTCTGCTACAGAGAGGTAAAATGTATGGAAACTATTTAAATTAATTAAGTTATTACAGAATACTATTTAAACCCAAACACGGAACAAAAACATACCAAGCATGCTTTGGTCTTTCTTCAGATTTAATGTTAATGAGGGCTGATATTTGTCTGCACTTCTGTGCCATATTCTTGGCCAGGATCATCATACTTACTCAACAACCTTGGGTGGCAGGGTATTCCATTGTTCCCACCTTACGGAGGATGAAACTGGAGCCTCAGGAGGTTACAGACACCCAGGACTACACAGTGAGCTAATAGCCACCAGAATGCAAAGTCAGCCAGCCAGATGCCAACGTGCAAAGACTTGACTCCAGAAAGCCCCATGACAATTCAGAATCAGAGCCATAATGACCAGTGAAGACATGTTCTAGCCACATGCAAACACCAATCCATGGAAGATGAATACCTTCTTCTCCAGAAAAGTACAAGAGCTTGAGAGTTCTCAGATGAACAGTGATTTGAGGCACTTTACATCACAGATGGCAGTCTTCAGTGCTCCAGTTGGTGATTGTTTCACAAAATATCTTTTCAAAAAGATGACTCAGTTTCCATAAACAATGTAAAAATGTGATTTCTGTGTTTCTATTAAAACACAGAACGTTTCTTTACTTTTATGATCTATAGAAGGCTATCACAAACATAGCATCTGTTTCTGACCTGATACCATTTCAGTCAAACAAAAATAAGACAAGAGTTTACTACTTCTCCTGACTTGTTCTGAAACTGGGTTGTGTTAAAAAGCAACTGAGTCAGATCTGAGACTCAAGGTCTCCTTGAGTAGCACTATTTATGTCAAGCTAGATGCTTGAGTACTCTGCTGCATAGGTAACATGGAGACTCTAAGAGGCGTCCTCTTCTTGCCCCTGAATACCTTGTTGGAGAAAGAGGAGACCAATAGTAGTACAGGCAGTGAGGGAAGGACCAGAAGGTCAGTGTTAACACCATGGCTAATTTAGTATAAAAATGCCATAAAATATAAATATTGTGTCTTCCTTTTGATTCTATATTTTATCCTCTGAGTCTTTACGATTAAACTTACAAGTGAAGTGTTAAAATGTGGAAGTTCCCTAAGATACACATTGTTAGATTTAGAAGAAAAAAATTTGAAGTATCATTTTTCTTCCATTTGTATGCAGAGCGAATTGCAGCTGTACGAACATCTAGCTTAGCAGGTGGTCTATGACCCAAAATGATAACACACTTAGCAGATGTTGAATCTCATGTAACATTAATTTGAGTGCTAATTGTTCTCAATTTTGTGCTCATAAACCTCTACCTACGTCCAAAAAGCCTTGTGCTTCTGATGGATATGAAAGTTAATCAGATTATATTGTCCTTTGGTACAAAAGTGGAATTCATTTAAAAAATGTCTCTTTTGCTTTCTGTCAAGAAAACTTGGGAGGAATAGTCATTTAGTGCCTTCCTTTACAATTTATCACATTTGGAAATGAAATTTAGATGACTATGGCTAAATTTATTATTAAAAAGTCAAAAATTTTCAAGTATGACATGGTTCTAAGTTTTTAGCCATTACTAAAGCAAAAGCTTTAAAAATAGTGTCAAAGGGAGATTATTATCACAATTTTGCATAAATATAATCTTTCCACTTCATATCTCACCCATAAAAGATGTTCAGTTCTTACCAAAAGGCTAGATTTTCCTTAATATTTTATTTTACCTTGAAGCTTGGTATTGACTAGTTTTCAAATTAAATTCTTCAATATCTGCATTGTTGGTCTCCTCTTTAAAAAACACTTCTCTGGAGTTCAGTTGTTTCTTCTTATCCTGTCCTCTCTCCTCCCCTCCCCTCTTCCCCTTCCCTTTTTTCTCTTCCCTTCTCCTCCCCTTTCTCCCCTTCCCCTTCCCTCCACTCTGCTCTTCTCTCCTCCTTTCTCCTCCCCTTCCCTCCACTCATTTCCTTTCCTCTCCTCCCCTCTCTTTTTCCCTTGTTTCTCCCCTACTCCACCTTCTCAGTACCCAAAATTGTCTCTGCTTCACTGATATTCTTTTCATACATATACTCTTGGAACTTTCTGTATTTCTGAGGTTTCAGTTATTATTTTTATCTGAAGTATTGGGTACCAAGGTAATAGTTCCATCTGCAAATTTTCACTAAGCTTAAACACACATTTGCAAATACCTAGAGGCTAGGACTATTTGTTCATCATTCCAAAAGTTATCTCAAATAACTTTTAATTAGTTATTTAATTAAGAAGGGAGGAGAGAAGAGCAGAGGGGAGGGGAAGGGAGGGGAGGGGAGGGGAAGGGAGGGGAGGGGAGAGGAGAGGAGAGGAGAGGATGAGAAGGAACAACTGAACTCCAGAGAAGTGCTTTTTAAAGAGACCAACAGTGCAGATATTGAAGAACTTAATTTGAAAACTAGTCAATTCCAGGCTTCAAGATAGAATAAAATATTGAGGGAAATCTAACCTTTTGGCAGGAACTGAAAAGTTATCTCAAATTTTGTTCCTCAAAAATGATTTCTTAGGCTGACCAAAGAGCTCAGTGGATTAAAGCATCTGAAAGCAGGCACAGGGGCTGGGGGTTCGATCCGGCCCTGCCCCCAGGGGTGCACGGAGACAACAACTGAGACTGGGTGTGGGTGTGTGCACTTGTAATTCCAGCTCTTGGGAGGCTGTAAACAGGTGGCCAACTATGAGTCTGATCTAGTAGTGAGACCCTGAACAAGCTGTGGACCCTTTCCTAAAATTGAAAAAAAAAAAAAAAAAAAAAAAAAAGATTTCTTACACTCCACAATTTTCCTTATGATTTTTTTTTTTTTGTACTCTACAGTTGCCCTTATGTTCAGCAGCATGTTATGTATGAAGACACACATTCTTCATTCAATTAAACTGGCTTAAAAACTTGGAGCCCAAGGGGGCTGGGGAAATAGCTCAGGGGCATAAGTGCCTTCCTGACAAGTATAAGGCCTTGAGTTCAATCCCTGGTAATGCAAACAAAAATGAAAAAAGAAAACTTGGAGCTCTTGTTGACATGTCTTTGTGTTTGGTCCTTGACATTTTAATGAGTCTTAAAAACTAATTAAATCTTCCCATTGTGCTTCATCCCATATCAACTCCTTTCTTTGCATTACTGTTGCTATCATCTTGGTCAGATTTCGCCTCCCGCAGCATCTTAATTGCAGAAAGAATTCCCCACCATTGGATTGGTAAATATTGTCTTAGGCCAGTCTGTCTCTATGAGTGTGTGAACCTTTCTGGAACATCACCCTCCCTGTCACATCCTCCTGGAACTCAGGAGCTCGATGCTCTCTCAGCTGTGTGCGTCCTCTTCACAGTCTTTATCATGTCTTTGTTTTTTCTAGTGCAAAACATTTAGTATCACTCCTGCTATTTCTCTAAGTTGTACAAGTCTATATTTACCACATTTTTGTGATTGTTTTAAAACTCAGAAACGCCTACCTTACCTCCCATTTTTCCTTTATTCACTTTATCCCTGCCTTCCAGATGTGCCTACCTTGAGTCCCACCTTGTCCATGAGGAACTTGCTGAAAATTTCAGTTTTCCCACTTCTACTTCTAAAAACCACCTAGGCTATTCCCTCCAGAGTTAATTTCCTTTTTCA